TGTAATTAGCAGGTCAAGAGTGTGCCCCCTGCTGTGGGTGGGGCCACTCACGTGCTGAATGAAACCAAAGGTCTCAAATACAGAAGCCAGCTCCTTTGCATTTCTGTCATCAACATTATCAACATGTACATTAAAATCACCTGTAATAACTAAACTATCAAAATCTGTGCACACGAATGAAAGTAGTTCAGTAAAATGGTCAATAAAATCGCAACATGACTGTGGTGGCCTGTACAGGACAATGAAAAGAGTAGAAGATTGCTTTTGTTCCATTTTAAAAGAAATATACTCAAACGATGAAAAATTTCCAAGGGGCATTCTATGGGAGACAAAGTGCTCTCTAAAAACTGCAGCTATGCCTCCCCCCCTTTTGTTTTCTCGTATTTCGGATTCAAATTTAAAATTGGGTGGTGTTGCTTCTATTAGAACTGCATTTCCTGTATTTTGGTCCAGCCATGTTTCAGCCATAAGCATAAAATCAAGATCATAAGAAGTGATAAAATTATTAATTAAAAATGATTTGTTACATAGAGATCTGACATTAAGCATAGCAAGTTTAAAAATAACGTCAGAGTCGATTAATGTGGTTGATTGATTTCTACAGGGAACAGAAATTAGATTTGCAGAGTTGGACCGTCTAACTGCTGTCCTGTTTTGATTTTGTTTTTTAGAATTTAAAAACATTTTTGAGCTGGTGCGAGGAACACACACAGTCTCAATTGGCCTAAAATGTGAAAACCCTTGTTGTTGTTCTTTAGCTCCCAGAGTCAGAAGGGAGTCAGCACAGTTCAGTGTTTGGACTGGTAATGCACTGCCAGACGGACAGGGAGCAGTGTTTGCACCGTTGTACTCACCCGGTGCTGGTGAGCAGGAGGCGGGGGAGTGCGGTGGGGTCCGAGGGGGCTCAGATGTAAACAGTCACGCCCCCCTCGGGGAACGCTGAACAACATGACGCATGTAGTCCATCAACAGGCTGCTACCGTATCTGTTTGGGTGTAATCCGTCTGGACGATAGGCTTCGTAACGTTTCCAGAAAAGGGCAAAGTTATTCACAAAGACAAAGTTAAAAGAGCTGCATGTAGCCTGGATCCACATATGCAGCGCCACAACACGACTGTAGAGGCAGTCACCTCTGTTTACAGTCGGGATTGGACCAGAAATAAAAACAGATAATCCGGAGGATTGAAGGAGGTGGAACAGATCCATAAAATGTTTCTTAGTGACTTCTGACTGCTGAAGTTTCATGTCGTTAATTCCCACATGCACGACTACCTTGGAAACGGTATCAGGCAGGGACTGAAGCAGAGGAGGGAGACGTATGAGCAGGTCTGGTACAGTAGCTCCGGGAATACAGCGAGTGACCGCGTTAAAGAAGCGGACGTGTCTCACGATGGAATCTCCAATAATCAGAGTGGTCGGGGCGAAGAGTGGACGTGGACGCGGCCTCGGAGAAGGAGCTCGGTGGACGGAACCAGCGGGTTCACCCGAAGCAGGACCCGAGCCTGAGCGCCGCTGAACACATGGAGAGGAGGAGCGGGGGTGCTGACTCTCAGCTACAGGCGACCCACGCTGTGTGCTCGGGGACGCTGGAGCGGTGAGAGGGGCTGGCTCTGGGCGCTACTGCTGACCCGGTGGAGGTGAGCGGTGGTAATGATGGCTCGCTACCCCAGTCTGAGGCTGCTGCACTGGGGTCAAAGAAGGGGAACAGGCCAACATGGCTGGTGGACCGCTCTTTCGCCTGAGGACTGCTTCCTTTAGGAGCGTTTTCCTCGTAGTGGACTTGGATCCTCGAGCAGTAGAGTACGCTGCAGTGTCCAGGGATTCTGCTGAGGGGGCCGGGATGTCAGTGGAGAGGGCTGCATAGCGGTTTGCCAGACTCAGGACATGGGCCACGGCGCAGGATGGCTCCTCGGAATCCGCGGGCTCGTTATTCGGAACCGGGCGCTTAGGTGTAGAACAGGAGTGTCCGGGGCTGACGGATCTCTCCCACACGACAGTGTCACAATATGCAGCGCTCAGTGACATAAGCCGTGAATGCTGCCCACCAGCGACTTCAAAAAGTTTGGACACTAGAGATTGTTTCTCATTCAACTCTGCGGTGAGACGAAGGACTTCTTTTCGTAGTTCTGCAATGGTGGCACGGTCGCTCTCACGGAGCTCCAAGGTGAGGCGACTAATATTGTGTTTGAGCCAATGTCATTGTCACTTTCCATGTCCTCGTTAGCTTGTGTTAGCCTCTGTGCTACTAGTGGGTTCCAGTCGGGACTAAGCGCTATTTGCTGAAACACCTGAATTAATAAGATAAAACACTCAGATATATTAAAAAACTGAACAATAAAAACGCGCTAAAAAGTTGTTAAAAGTTTACTAAAAAGGTGCACAGAGCAGCCCCTGCAGTACTGCTTACCGGACATGAGAGAGAGACCACTCTCTCATGAGAGATATCCCTGGTGTTGTCCCCAATCGACAAACACAACATGCCCCAAGTGTCCTCACTTCTATTGAGAGTCCTCTTCTTCTCAACCACAATCCCTTCTTTAAAAGGCAAATAAAATAACCTGCACAATTAAGAGTGCGCACAAAAAATGAGGTAAAATATACAAAATATCAGGAGATCCATTTATGATTCACCCTAGTAGGAGTGAAAGAAAAATAAAGAAAAATAAAGGTAAATAAAACTGAAATAATAATAATAACAAACGGTAGTTGTGAATAAAATTAAATTAGTGGAGAAATATAGGGGATAAAACGAATAGATAAATAAAATAATCATATATAGACCCAATGGTGTAGGTTTGGTTCCAATCTTGGTGGGGACATTCACTACGACCTGAGTCTACACCCATTGACACGGGGTCCAGAGTTTCTCCCCCAGAATTTGTTGTGTAATCACACACTATATTTGCAATAGTGTGTTGCCTTCTATACTAAACTCAGCTGTAGACTGAATGAGAAGCAGTTATGTATGTTAACAGAAGATTAATCATCACAATTCATAATTTGCTATTACTTGTGCTTTCTCTTACTTACTTTCCAACTGTTAAAACAGCTCCTGATATCTTTTATCTTATTTGTGGAGGTGGCATTTTTTAAATTATATAAGAAGGTATAGACAATCAAAAACAGACATTCATATACATGAACTGCAGAATCATTTATATAACTTGGCCAATGTCAAAAGTTACATAGTATTTCTCAATACAATGAGTTAACAAGAGTTTGGCAATAAGTAACAGTGTGGATTTTTCTATATTTTCTTTTTTTTATTCCACTCTCTACCCAAAAAGGCAAGTAATGACTCACAGGACTCTCAAGTATGCAAAGTAAAAACTTAAATGACCTGTTGTGGTGTGTTTTGCGCACAACCAGCATGCATCGTTAACGCAATGGAAAATTTACGTATCCGAGCTTTAATTTCGGGAGCGCTGGTTGCGCTTTGGGAAGAGTCAGGGGAGAGACATGTCAGAGACACAGGGGAGAAACGCGGGAGATACGAGGGAGACCCGCACTTGCAACATGGTTCTGTCTGCATATGGTTCGAGCTCGGTACCATGTTAGAGCTGTGCTTTCACTGAGCGTCGCGGCTGTCATTACAAAGCGGCAGCAGCTGCACCAGGACGTGCACATTCGAGTGCATCGCTTGAATGTGCTTAGAGCAAATAACAGCAAGTGCCCGCTGTCACACATTTCACAGAAATTACATTATCAGCAGATAAAGGTTGTAAATCGTGGATCCGTGGAATATTTTCATCCCTAGTTTATCCTGATTCACACAACACACCCACTTATACATTTTGGATAGTAAGAGCACAATAAGATTTTTTCAGCCTTTCAACCAACCTGTTTCTTTATTGGAGCCAGTTCTGTTCTGTCTCTGTGCCGTGTGAGCTCCTCGGAACATTAAACAGTGCGCTGACAGATTAGAAATAACGTAAGTACTTTGAATGGTAGTAGATCTACAGTACTTTCCTCTGATTACTCACGTGCTACAACGCTCAGGGAACAAAAAAAAACACTTGCTTCACGCTGGATAACTTTTAAAAATTAAACAGTTGCTCAGTGCTTCAGTTTGGCGCTGAAGAAGACAGCCAATCACTGCAGAGAACGGAACGGGTCACGTGCTGCTGCTGCTGCTGTTGCTCTGGAGGCGAGGAGGAGGCGCGACGTGTGCACAAACGGAAGACATGTGTCCCGGACCGTCCGGGTCACGGGACATCATGTCATTTTGGTGGGGACTTTTTAGTCCTCACCAAATATTGGTGGGGACATGTCCCCATGGTCCCCACGCAAACCTACGCCCTTGTATAGACCTGATAATTGCTGTGAATTAAAAAATAAATAATAATAATAAAAATGTTACAGAATTCTTCACAAGTAAAATATCTTAAAAAATAGTAAAATATGGTCTAGTGATCAATCTGTCAATAACGTGATTTCAACTAAAAATAAATAGAATTGGAAAAAAACTAGTAATAGAAAAAATAATAGAAAAAATATCAGAAATATATCAAAAATAATTTATTAAAACAAAAAACAAAAAACCCAAATACTCATGGATTGCACATCAAAATCAGTATTATTTTACTAATGTAATTAAGAGAAAAATCAGACAAATAACTTATTAACTTGTACTCCTTCAGATAAACAATAACACAAAAGTAACTGTAATTGGATTGTCTTTAAACATTCACGCTATCAGCAGAGTAGTCGTTTTTTTCTTTTTCCCTTTTTTCCCTTTAAACTTTTGAGTCAATGTAATCTTTCACACTCTTGGGGTTGTCAAATACTTTCGTTTCCCCGTCCCAGGACACTCGCAGCCGAGCTGGATAGAGCAGACCATAACGAACTCGATCCTTCCCCCGGAGCAGCGCTTTCACCTCGTTAAAAGCTGAACGGCGTCTGTTCAGTTCAGCACTGAAATCCGGGAAGATGAGGAGCGGATTTAATTTATAATTATTTATTATTATTTTCATCCTCCTTATCCCACTAGCCAGTGTCACCTGGATTCTGGAGATGGGATCAGCTTTAGGCAGAAGTTTGGTACTTTCTCTTGCAAACTGAACCTCAAGCCTCATTCTCTGCAGCTGTGCAATGTTGTTCAGACTCTCATCCACAAGGAACTTCTCAACTTCCCCACTGTCAGTGAAGGGGCCACCTCTAGATTTAAGAATGTCCAGCAAGTCAAGTCTCTTCCTCTTCTTTCTTTGAGCCATCTCTTGTTTCTGTTCTGCCCCACTCTGCAATTTCGCCTTCACGAGTTTACTCCAATTGAGTTCAACCTCTCGTTTTGCCTGGGCTGTTGCCTTGAAACCTCTGAAGGATGGAATCTGTCCATTCCCAAGTTCCTGGCTCTTTTGTAAAATTATTGACCTACTCACTGCATTTCAGTGTACCTAGCTTCTTCAGCCTGTATTCCACCTTGCCACATTGTTTCTCCATTCCAATGTTGTGCACAGGGGTGCCATCAATATCACAAGCCTGGTCACTGACCGGGTAATCCATTGGGAAGGTCTCATCAATCCCAGAGTCGCTCCTCTGCCTGGCCAGGACAGACTTCAGGTGGGGCTGCATGAGAGCAATCAGCTTCTTCACCTCATCCAAGTGTTCAGCAGCCACGTCTGACACAGAGTTCAGCACCTCCTCTGTGTAGGTCTTCTTTACGCTACTGAAAAGTTTATCAGACACTACAAAATACTCCTGTGTTATGAATGTAGTGTAGTTGTTGTTGTTTGGCTTTATATAACAAATAAAGGCTTGCTGCTCTCTGGAAAATCCACCGTTGTCTTGACTACCGGCTACAGAGAAGCTCCTCCCACCGGCGTCAGGCGCATCACTCGCGTCAAGCTTCAAGCATCAAAAGGACACAAAAAAATAACCCGGCATCAGTTGAAGCGCGTCAAAAGCGTTTTGAAGCTTTTGGTCTGAACGCGCCTTCAGGGTTTGTGGGAGTACTCGGGAGCCACCAACTCAAGGCACATATTTAGTGCTTGTCCAGCTTCACTGGCATTCTTGCTGTTTCCATCTAGAACCACCATGAAACTTTGAAGCACTTGCTGCATCTTCATAGGAGCCCCCACCAACCGCATCACTTTATTCATTGCACTGCTGAAGCCAGTGCTGTGTGAGTGCCACAAAAGATCTGTCCTGCTGGTGTTTCCAAGTTGTAAATCTCTGCCAACAGCTTTGAAAACCCTTTGTTTGCTCTGTGCTGTTAGTCATATGAGCATCTACAAGTTTATACACACCCTCCACACTTTGCTATGTCCTCTGTTGTCTCTTGATGGATTGGTAAGATGAGGCAGAGGAAATGGACTGTCTTGACCCACTTGTAACCCTTGTACCAGGAACTTGACTACATCTTTCTTTGTGGTGCTGTACGATGCATGTGTGATCATTTTACCCTTCTCCTCCTCCTTCTCCAGCTTTTCAATTAGACACAGACTTTGTGCTTCAATTTGCTGTAGAGTAGCCCTTATACTTCTAGTACTTGGCACTGTATTCTTATCAAAAATCTCATTGCATTCCCCTGCACTTTTCCAATATTGTCAAAACATAGTGTTGCCTACTTAAATAGAAAGTCCCTTTCCTGAGAGATTGGCTATTGTTGTATAGAACTCTTTCTGACAATTGTATGTGTTGAAATTCTTATGGCAGTGCCATGAGTAATTCAGCAACATATGAGAAGGTTTGTCTCCTCCCTATGGGCTCTGTTCACACCTCAATCTGTTCTCCCTGTGTTTGAAGCCCTCTCAGACATTTGTCTTGCTTTGGGGGTGAGACCTCCTTCTCTTCATTGTTGCTGCAGCTGGATATTTAATAGTTACCTAATGTAACCTAAGTTCTACGAATAGGTGCGTAGTCCCTTAGCGGACTTCGCTAGTGGGATATCACGTAACCCCCAGGTCACAGACGCAAGAGAGATCAACAAAAAATGCTCCAATCACTAGCCACCCTCCTCTATAAAGGCCCCTGCTCCATAGCCGCGCCCCCTCTTGAACTCTGCCAAGCCGGGCTGGCCTGATGGGCTCGTAGCTAAGGGACTACGCACCTATTCGTAGAAATTAAGTTACATTAGGTAACTATTAATTCTACGTCATGGTGCTACGTCCCTTAGGACTTCGCTAGTGGGACACAACGCGGAGGCCGTAGGAACATGTACTCCCAGCAGGCCAGCGAAGAGTGATTGGAGCTCCGCCCGAGCAAGACCCTCACAAAGTGAGAGGACTCAGGGCAGAAGAAGCAATTGCGTGTTACAGGGCCACTCCTCCCAAGGATACCCCCAAGTAACACAGACCGTAGGTCACCCGTAGTCCCAGGACGCCTCTCACAAGAGCTCCTGACGTGGACTACCTGACTGACCAAAAGCACACATATACCGCACCTGCAGGACGCCTTTCCCAAGAGCTCCTGAACCAGGGCGGAAAATCAACCGAAGGCCCCCTCAGAGGAGGAACCTAACGGTTTCAACTCAGTCCGCTGCACTCAGCACGGAATGGGCCACCGACCGGTCCGACACATCCAAAAGATAAAACCGGACAAAAGAAGAGGACGACGCCCAAGAAGCCGCACGGCACACGTCCTCAACCGATGCCCCCCTGAGGAGGGCCGTAGAGGCCGCCACCCTACGCGTGGAATGCGACCTGAAGCCCACCGGGGGGGCCAGACCCTGAGCCTGATACGCCCGCCGCACAGCCGTGGCGACCCAGTGCGCCAGCCGCTGAGCCGACAACGGGGCGCCCCTGTTCTTGGGGCCCAGACACACAAACAGCTGATCAACCAACCTGAATGAAGACGTCATGGCCAGGTAATGCCTAAGCATTCTGACAGGACACAGAAGGTGCCGCCGCTCCTCCTCGGGGGAGGCATGCGGCGGATGGAATGCTCTGTTCCTGATCACTCTCGACCTGAAGGCCGACGTGATGACCTTAGGGAGAAAAGCCGGATTGGGCCACAACTCCACCATGCCGTCGCCCTCTCCAAAGGACAGGCAAGACGCATGGACGGAGAGCGCACACAACTCGCCCGCCCTCTTGGCAGACGCCAACGCCAGCAAGAGGGCCGTCTTAAAAGCAACACACTCGGGACTCGCCTCCGCCGCCGGTTCAAAAGGCGGGCCCGACAGACCCCTAAGGACCACCCTGAGGTCCCAAACCGGGGGCGTTCTCTGAAGCGGGGGCCTCCTCCTGTGCGCCCCCCGCAGAAAACGTTTAATCAACGGATGAGAGCGGGCTGTAAACCCCCCGAATCCATCGTGACCCGAGGTAATGGCTGCCGCGAACACCGCCAAGGTGGCGACAGCCCTCCCTTTGTCAAAAAGCTCCTGTAGGAATCCCAGGACTCCCTCCAGCGGGCAACGCCTGGGATCCCAGGAGCGAGAACCGCACCAGTCGCTGAAGAGCCTCCATCTCGTGGCGTAGGCCCTCACAGTGGACGGCGCCCTCGCCGCCTGAATGGTCTCCACCACCGCCGGGGGAAGACCCAGGTCTACGAGGTTCATCATCGGGCGTGAAAACAGGGCCCCCCCCCCCTGGACTAGAGCCCCCGGCTCGTCCGGGAGGGCCCAGGGCTCCATCACCGCCATGCCCCTCAGGAAGGGAAACCACCGGGCATGTGAACTGTCCGGAGCCACCAGGATCACCGACCTTCTCTCCTGTTCGATCCTCCGCAGCAGGACCGGCAGGAGACGCACTGGTGGGAAGGCATACAGCAGGCCCTCTGGCCAGGGGTAATGAGCCAGAGCGTCCACGCCTAAGGGCGGCTTGTCCGCGGCCCTTAAGGCGAACCAGGACGGGCACTGTGCGTTCTCTGCACTGGCGAAAAGGTCAACCACTGGACGACCGAACCTCCGCCAGACCTCCGCAGCTACTCGTGGGGCCAGGCCCCACTCGTCCTGGAGTGGGCCCCCCCTGGACATCCTGTCGGCCCCCACGTTCCGGACCCCCGGGACGTAGCGCGCCCTCAGAGACAGAAGGTGAAGCGCCGCCCACAGTCACCGTCGCCATGCGATGGAGGGCGGGGGATCTGGTGCCCCCTGCCTGTTCAGATAAGAGACCACTGTGCTGTTGTCTGAGCGAACCATCACGTGTCTCCCCTGCAGCTGAGGAGCAAAGTGCAGCAGTACCCTGTGTACTGCCTCCATCTCCAGAAGGTTGATGTGGCGGGCTGAGTCCGACCAGCAGCCTGACTCCTACAGAGCTCTGGCCGAGGACCACGCCCCAACCCTCGAGTGACGCGTCCGTGAACACCTTTACGTGAGACACGGCGCAGGCCAGAGTCACTCCGTCCCGCAACAGACCCGGAGTGAGCCAAAACCTGATGTCCGATGCTGTCACTTGGGGAACCCAGATAAGCCTCCCCCCGTCCCGGGAAGGGTGAAGCCTGAGGCGTGAGAACCACCTCTGAAAATTCCTCATGTGGAGAAGGCCTAGCCGCACCACAGCATGAGCAGCCGCCATCATTCCCAGCAGGGACCTGAGGCGTCGAGCGGGGACCCTGGGGCCCGCCAGAACCTCCCTGGCCAGACGGGTAATGTTCCTCCGTCTGTCCTCGGACAATGCAGCACGGAATGTCACAGAGTCTAGCTGCCGGCCGAGATAGATCACGCGCTGAGCCGGCTGCAGCCTGCTCTTCTCCCTGTTCACCACAAAGCCCAGGCGCTGTATGTGGGACAGGACCCAGTGCGTGTGACTCACGGCCACTTCCCTGGATGAGGCCAGTATTAACCAGTCGTCTATGTAGGTTAATATTCTCACCCCTGCGCGTCTGAGCGGCTCCAGTGCCGCCTCCACGCACTTTGAGAAGGTCCGAGGCGCGAGCGCGTAGCGGAAGGGGAGACGGCAGTAACCGTAATTCCTCTCTCCCACTGCGAAGCGCAGAAACCTCTTGTGTTCTGGCACTATAGGCACGTGAAAGTACGCATCTGTCAGGTCTATGGAGGACATCCAATCTCCCTGCCTGACACACTCGAGGAGCTGTTTTGTGGACAGCATCCGAAACTGCCGTTTGGAAATGCACTCGTTCAGAACGCGCAAATCCAAAATGGGACGCACCCCGCCTGCCTTCTTTGGCACCAAGAAGTAAGGGGAGTACAGCCCCCTGGTGACGTCCTGTGGGTCTACCTCCACTGCTGCGCCTTGACTCAGCAGAGAGGAGACCTCCGCTTACAGTGCCACTAATGATCCCCGTACCTGAGAGCGTGCTGCCCGTACTTCTCGGAATGGTGGTGGCTTTCGGGAGAATTGCAGTGCGTAACCCCTGCGCAATGTCTTCTCCAGCCATGGATCCGTCAGCAAGCCCTGCTCCCTCCAGATGCTGTAGAAGTCTGTGAGGGGCGGAACGGGAGCTGGAACATGAGACGTCACGGCCCCGCCCTCTCCTGGTGTTCCTAGCAGGGAGGGGGGGTGGACGAAAGGGCCGGGGGGCCCCCTGCGTCATCCCGTGTGCGCTGGGGGCGGTCACGTGTCCTGCAGGCCCGACGTCATAAGAACCATGTGACTCGACTGCTGCGCCCCCCCCTGGCTCTTGCCTCATGGAGGGGGGGGCGAGCCCCTGGAGTGGGAAACCCCGTGTTAGCCTTGTAGCTCAGAGGGGCTAACACGCGTTCGGCCGAAGCACACACATCACTACTCACCAGATCCCTCCGCCTGACCTCTCTCTGGGAGGGCATAGTATGGATCAGAGAACCGGAGCTCGTAGCTCGCGTAGTGCACTGCACACCCTGCTCTGGGGGCTGCAGGCCTAGCGAAGCAACGTTATGTGCCCGGGAAGTAACACAATCAGATTTCACATTAGATATGTTACGTACCCCCAAATGAGACTCAGACAACGAGTACTGATGAAATGCCGGCCGGCCTTTATTGAAAAAATTCTTTCCACCCCGACTTCCTCTGCCATAGGGAGGCCGGCGGTGGGTGCGTTGCTCCCGCGAGCCACCCGTGGGTCTGTCTGGGCCCGGGGGCCTCGTCGAGGGGGGACGATGGACCACAGAGCGCGGATACGGGTCAGGACGCCTCCCGGGTGAACGCTCTCTGCCTCTGTCCCAGCTCCGTGATAGTGGGCGCGCCTCGCGCCTCAATGCTAGGTGCGGGGCTAGCCTAGCCGAGTCGTTGGCTGCAGCCTCCAGTCTTGCCACCAGGGCCTGCATGTCCGGGCCGAAGAGGGACGTCTGGGAAACGGGCAGGTCCAGCAGCTGCCTCTTCTCCGCCTCCCTGATGTTAGCTAGCCCAAGCCAAAGGTGCCTGGCCCCAACTTGGGCGGCTGCCATGGAGCGGCCGCCGTCCACGGCTAGCGCCTGGCACATGCGCAGGATTGCCGCCGAGGTGGTCCTCGCCTGCGATAGGAGGTCTCCACTGAGCGCCTGGCCAGAGGAGAGCGACCTATCCAGGGCCCCCGTGATGAATGCCATGTTATTTGCCAATGCGACGACCTGTGCCGCATTGGCGTAACATCTGTCCAGCATAGCCAACGACATCCTGTCCCGCTCGGAGGGGAGGAGAGGTCTGGTGCCGGGCCACACGGATGCGGAGGGCTGCATGGCCATGCGGACTGAATCCTCGATGTCCGGGACTCCGCCGGTCCAGGACCAGTCCTGCACGCTGCAATAAATGCCGTACCCCAGAGCAGGCCTCTTGGCTGCTAGGGGCTTTGGCCACTCACGTGTCAAGTAATGGACGATCGGGTCCATCCGCGGGCACAACGTGGGTTGTATCCTCCTCCTCCCTCGAGCGGTGGCGCCCACAGAGGTGAAGTCCTCCGCCCTCTGGACCGGCTGTGGTGGCAGAGGAGCATCCATGATGGCCGCCGCGGAGGAGTAGAGCCCAGGCATGTGGTCCAGTGGAAAGCGGTCCGGCTCCGGGTTCGAGACTACCTCGTCCAGGGTGAGGAGAGAGCCGATCTCCGAAGCCTCTCCGTCCTCGCAGTCACCCCACTCCGCGGGCACGGGAGGAAGGTCGAGCAGGGCCCAGTCAATCTCAGACTCCTCGTCCTGAGAGGAGTCCGGACGGGGCGCTGCAGCGGCGAGGAACGCACGCCTGCGTTCGCTCTCCTCCCTGGGGAGAGCGGGACACGAGGCGCAGCTAGCGCTCAACGCCGCATGGCCCGGGCCCAGGCACATGAAGCAGCTGGCATGCTGGTCCGTGCGCTGGAGCCTGACTCGACACTCCGAGCAACGACGACGTCCGACGCCGGAGGGCGAAGGGGAACTCGGACGAACAGCAGAAGACATCTCTAGAATGAAGTGAGTCCTGTGGTAGATCTCAATCGGCGCCAGAGTGAAAGAGGGGGCGCGGCTATGGAGCAGGGGCCTTTATAGAGGAGGGTGGCTAGTGATTGGAGCATTTTTTGTTGATCTCTCTGGCGTCTGTGAACTGGGGGTCACGTGATATCCCACTAGCGAAGTCCGCTAAGGGACGTAGCACCATGACGTAGAACGCACCAGTTTCCATCAAGATATCTAGAGTTTGATATGAGAACTACTGGTCTCTCCTCCTCTGGTACTCTCCGTTCCTCTCCCCCAGCATTTGGGTTTGCATCACGCTGTGGTACCAGACAGGGCCCACACCTTTGGAACAGAACATCCTTCGCTCCGTCTTCTGATCTTCATAATATTTGTGTTCCATCTCACTCATGCTTATACACCACTCTTCCTCCAGTGATTGCCGGCTTATAGCGTCATGAGCAAATACATCAAAGAGCTCAGACTTTCAATGAAATAACTCTTTGTATTGCTTTACAGCCAGTGACTCTTGTTTTATTGTTTAGCACCATCCAGGGGAAGTTCAAAGGAAACACAGGACACCGTGTCGTGGTACTACTTGGCGTAAACCTGCCGTTTATCACTTTCCGAACTGCCATGGTTGTAGTCACTCTCATCTCCAGGTGATATTGTATCACGCTTATGACACTCTGCATCGTAGGGAGTTTCGTAGGGGGTTGGAGGTTCTTGGCGGGAGGGAAGTCGATATCTGCATCATAAATATTTACAGTAGATCTAGTTTTGGACATGTTTCTGGGCTCTGCCATGCTTGATGATGTACGATGTACTTTTCTGAAAAAAGATTAATGTTCCAAATTAGATTAATTTGCCCATATTTGAGCATCGTCTGGTCCTCCTGATTCTGCGCAGTGGACGAGCGCCCATGATTCTTTGTGCCAAATACGTGTGTGGCTCACATGCATGTGAACAGAGGGGCTCGGTCGCGCTTTGACCAATCAGAACTGCTGATTAGAGCGGAGCTTGAGTGGGGAAAAAAATCAGTTTGTTGCATTAAAGTGTGGATTTAAAGAAAACAAGAAAAAAAGTTCCGGATGACAAGGGACGCCCCCCGTGCCCATGGATGGGACAGCTATAAGCTAGCAATAACCTATCCAGATATTATTATAGATCCATGCTGCCAACCTGCCCTCTGGCCCCCTGCCTGTTCAGGAAAGTCACCACTGTTGTGCCTCAAGTGCTGAAATTGTCTGCATGATTCTTCCAGACAGATTTTAATCAATTTATGTCTTTACCATTTCTTCTTTTAATTGAACTCTGTTTCATCTGTTCCAGGGAGGTCTATTGTTCTCTCCTTGGGGAAAGTTTGGAAGGAATGTGGCTTCGGAATGTCTCGCTTGCTTGACAATGAACTCGGGTTTTTTTACAGGTTAATTTTTGCTCCTTTAAAGTGGTTCTCACCCCCGCTCCTCGGAGCTTACACATTTCCTGTTCAAATCTTCCTCTAAATGGGCGTAGCCTGGAGGACTGAAGGGGGCGTGAACGAGACTGGGCCGTTTATATTGCTCTGGGCGGGGGGCTGCTGACGTCAGGTCCAACTTCTGTGCCAGTGTTGGCGCCAGATTCAAAATTCAAATTTAGTAATACAGGTCGCCAGCAGATGGCGCCTCACAGACGGTTTTAGGCAGAAAGTTTAACTTTCAACTAATTTGCACCAAAGTGAAAAAACTATGACCAGGATATGTACACAACACTATTGGACACTCATTTATACCGTTTATCAGCAAAAAAAAGTGGATTTGAGGGTGAGTTGTCCTTTAATTGTCAGCATTATTTGACACTTTAGACAGTCAATAATTTTGCATCACATGCCAAAAAGTGTTTACAGCCATGCACATCAAGCAGTCTCACTTACATATTCATGGAGGCAAGGGTAGGCCCTAACTTACTAACTTTGATCTTTTGGCTATGGATATATTTTATAACCAATAATGGTTTTCGCCATTTTTTTCCTATAACCATTTTGGTTCCAAGCCCATTTCAATGTTTTACCAGATTCCCTATGTGATCATGTAGCACAGCAGAGCCACCAGCAGGAGGCGCATAGTAAAGTTGTATGAGACGTGTCACTTTGATAGAGCCAGTGGTGTGACTGGGCACACTTTAAAGATGCTATACCCAATTTATTTTCTAATGCGTTCTTAAAAATAATTATTTCTACATACAAGTGTATTATAATCCGTAATTTATTTGAAAACTTGAGCTCATTGATTCAGCTTGTGTATGAATTCAGGCTGTATAAAAGTGCTGAGTATAGAATTACCCTCTACAGCGCTGCTAAACACAGTAGCATGTTAGCAGAATTGGCTATAACTCTTCTTGATGTAACTGCATACACAGCAAAACAGCCCAAACGACACAACAGTGAGGAAGAGAAGAGGGAACTAAAGCGAAAAAATGATCAAAGAAGAAATCAAGCCTTGAGTGAACATAGCTAGCTTACATCGTATCCTCTGGAGAGACTTGCAGTCTATGGGAGAGACCTGCGGGTCGGACTATATGCTCGGACCACATTTGGATGCAAAACTAGCGGTAATCTTTCGAATATATATTTTCTTAGCAGTGGGTTGCTTTTGTATCATTTCATCAGTGATTGTTGTACAGCTTAAGTTGCGCTAATGCTATTGTTAGCATATGTATCAGATCGCAAATAAAACTAGATGGCTCCGTGGAATGAGAGCGTAGGAAATGAGAAGCCTGCGAGCGAGTTGAGGGGCGGTGCTAAACATTCAAACCTTGCAGAAACGGGTATAGCTCCTTTAATGGCTCTGGCTGTCTGCCCTCTTTGTTGCTTGGCAGCCAATGACGTGCAGGCAGGGGAGGCACAGCCTCTCCTGCCATCATTGGAAACAAATAATTGTTTTAGTTGTAATATATACTGTAATTGTTTTCCACTGTCCTATGCTTTTATTGTATATTCGGCACTGTTTCGACCAGTTTGGATAATTTCTCAAGTCAAAATCATCGAAATCCTGTATTTCTGTGCCTCACCGCTAGGGGTGATAGTGAGCATAAAGTCATACCCGAGTTGCTAACAAACAATCAGTCCAATATGCTATTTCTAGTGCTGGAAAATGGATGATTTGATTGAATATTTTTTTTTTATCAACTGGACTTTCAATCAAAGCAAGAAATCCGAGGCACTCTAATCAAAGTCCTTTAATATGGACCTTTAAAATGGCGTCAAGTCGCCTCTTTGTTTAAACCACGCAGGGCCTTCTTCAGGCCCTGAAGAAGGCCCTGCGTGGCCGAAACGCGTTGGCCGTTGGCGTGGCCAAAACATGTAATTTCTCATCCTGAAGAGCACCTGATTTTAATTACTTTTTTGGACCCTGTAGCACTCACTCCTCCTGTTCTCCAAGAAATAATATAGACTGAGAGACCACCGCTCGACTTACGAGGTTAGTCCGGCCGCGAGGACGGACTAACCGTCTCCAACATAAAACTCTGTTTTATGTTGGAAATTTACTAGATAGCTGCATAATAGTGCTTCTCCTAAAAACACTGATCACACACTCCTCCTGTCTCTTTCTCTCTCTCTCTCCTCCTGTCTCTTTCTCTCTCTCTCCTCCTTTCTCTCTCGCTCTCTCTCCTCCCATCTCTTTCTCTCTCTCTTCTCCCGTTTCTCTCGCACTCTCTCTGCATTGGCAATTAAATGCTATTTTATTTGAATAATAATGGTAATTCTGACTTTTAAAGTCAGTGCCTTCCCAATCACAAACCTCACCGCACGTCACTGTTGGCAGCCTACAACATATTCAATATGATTAATGGTGTGTTGCAATACAATTCAATACAATACAATTTATTCTTGTATAGCCCTAGGTCACAACAGAAGTCATCTCAGAGGACTTAACAAAACCATTGAAATCACCAACACAGGTCAGAGAATCAACAGTTAAAACACATGAAGAATATAAAGCACACACAGAAGAAAATGTCCATACATGTTGTAGAATGCTAAAGTGTCCTGATCATCACCAATCCTTTCTGTAGACCTCCTGCATCAACAAGGAAAAACTCTTAAAAAACCCAGTGGGAAAAAGTGAGAAACCTTGGGGAGAACTAGGGAAACCCACAGGGAGGGAGACCCATATGAGAAAGGGATCCGCTCCTCCGGACGGACAGGCAAATGATCCAGGACCTAAACTAGCTACAGAACGTGGACCAGTGGACGCTGAACGTGGACAGGTCCGGTGCAGGACTGAAGCACTCCCAGGCGGGTCGGGCGGGGCAGTCCGCAAGTGTAGATGGAGGAGGCCAGGCTCAGAGGTCCCGTCATCGTACCATGAAACAGACAATGGGACAACGGGTGAATAGCAATGAACAAACTACAGTCAAAATCCTAATAATGCTAAACAGATAAAGTAGGAAGGAGGAGATGATAGTGCTCAAGTTACCATACTTCTCCCAGCAAACTGACTCCCTATGCAGCTTGACTGACAGTCTGAGGAGTTTAGCCTTCCCAGAGTCTTACCTTCCTAGCCATATGCTAAACTAAAGAGGACTGTTTTAAACCTAGCCTTGAATAAAGAGAGCGTATCTGAAAGGAGGTGAGACAACAGCAGCAGCCACGGCTACAGCACCAAGATTCATGGATTGCACACCAGGTGTGCAAACCGATCCAGGCAAACCTAATTATATATTATATATCATATATACCATACATACCATATATATTATATATAATACATAACATAACATACAGCATACTATATAACATAATATACAACATAACACAATACACAACATAATACATATATTGTATAATATATAACATAATATATAACATAAAACAGCATATATATATATAATATATACACCATATATTATATATTACCTAATTATATGCTAAATTAAAGTAGAGTGCTTTAAGCCTGGCCTTGAATGTGGAGACCGTATCTGCTTCCTTAACATAAATGGGAAGCTGATTCCAAAGTAAAGGAGCTTGGTAGCTAAATGCTCTGCCGCCAACAGTGATTTTTGAGACCTTAGGAACCACCAGACGTCTGGCGTTTTGTGAGCGCAACGCTCGACTTGGTTGATACGACACTAACGTGTCTTGGAGATAGGAAGGAGCCAAGCCATTTATGGCTTTATATGTTAAGAGAAGGATTTTAAACTTTAAAATCCGTTAATACAGCAATGATAGACTGTATTAACGGACGTAGTCACGCCTATCTCCACCGTTCTAACTAATGGGTCAAAAATTGGGCTCTCATGGAGTGATTCAAAATGGCCGCGGGGGCTGGAAAATGTGAAAAAACGCATCTGCACATGCGTAAGCCGGCACGAGCCCCATTCATTTAAACGAGTGATTTCAAAAATTCACTTGACTGGTCCAAAAAAAATCACTCCCCTCAGCATTGACACACATGTGGAATGGAGCTTTGGGCCAAGGGCCAACTTTTGGACCATCCTGTAAAGGTGTTTTCGAGAGGTAAGAAGATGCTATATGTTAGTGTGGCAAGCTGGACTTGGCCACTATATTTCTGTCCAGTAGAGGGCGTATACTGAATGTATAAATGGCCTCGAGTCGCCTCTTTGTTTACCTCTGCCCTTCCGTCTCCTGTGGGTCGTTGCGCCAGCCCTTCTCCTGCTCCAGTGCTGCGGTGTGGCATTGTGCCCCGCGAACCCTCCTTCTGTGTAGCCATGCTGTCCTGTCACTTTGGCGTCCGGCCGCCCTCGTTGCTGGTGTCCGAGCGTGACGTAGCCGGCCGTGGGTCTGGCCTTTACACCGTCACTCGTC